CTCCCCCCCGCCGAGGCCCCAGGCCTGCGGGGCCCGCCCCCAAGGGAGGCTCGCAAGCCGTGGGTGCTGGCTGGAGTGCGCCTTTGTTTGGCCACGGGAGCAGATGGGGATTGCAGCTGCAGGTGGGATGCGCAGCGATTCTTCCCCAGCCACCCCGCGGCGCCTGGCTCTGCCTGCGCCTGCCTCGGTCGCTGAGGCCACTGAAAAATCAGGAGAAAATCAGGATTTAAAAAAAAAAAAATCAGGAGGAAATGAATAGTGGAAAGATTTGCCTGCCTGTCTTTAAAGTCACCGATGTGCCAGCGTTGGCAAGCGGCTGCTCGCATTAAAGCCAGCTGCAAGCAGGCAAAAGAACTTAATCATAAGTGATTAAAGAGCTTGTTCAGCTCCTTGGGTTGCATCTGTCAGGCACAGCCTGTTGCTCGCTGCAGAAACGAGGCTGGCTTCGCACCCTGGGGCAAAGCAGGACACGAGCACCCTGGATTTGGGGAGACGCAAACCCAGCCACCCCACCCTGCTGTGCCTCCCAGGCTGATGGGAGCATCACTTGGGCCTCCCCTCTCCTGCAAATGCGGCACGAGTCAGTCCCTGCGAGCTGGGTGGGCTGGGAGACATCTCCCCACCAGCAGCAGGGAGGGAGGAGCGTCCCCTCCTGCAGAGCCGCTCGCTCTGGGTGTCAGCCTGGGGGGTGCTCAGCACTGGCTTCTGCTGGACCAGCCCACAGAGATGCCCTCGCTCCAGGATCCGACCCTCTGTCCATCTCAGAGGCATCGAGCCATTGTTTTACCCGCTCACGAGCAGCCTTCACCACGCAGCTCCTTGCACGTTGTCCAAGCAGTGCCAGCTGGATGCAAAACCACAACCTGCACTGCACAGACCAAAAACTTGGCTTTTTTCTGAGTCCAGCTTTGCACGAGGCCCTGTCCCGCTGTTGCGGCTCAGAGCTGTGGTGATGGGAGCTCCTCCAGAGCCCCAGCTCTTGTGAGCCAGGGACGTACAAATGAGCGACCTGATAAAAACAGGCTAAAACTCAGCATTTTGTAACTAACTCCTTGATTGTAGCTCCCTGCTCCAGGTCAGCACAGCAACGCTATTGCAGATCCTATGCAATTCCTACACGTTTCCGTTGCAATGGGCTGTGGACCCACGGAAATGCCGATGAGCCCAGTGTCCGGCCATGGCTCAGCACGGGGCCATGTGAGCCAAAATTGAATTGGGTCTGGAGAGTACAGAAGCGCTGGGGGCTGGGGCGAGGAGGCACGGGGCCTCGCTGCAGCGTGGGCGCCCAGCACAGGGGCAAGTTAGGGCTGGAGGTGGCACCCGTAGGAAGCCGCAGACCTGGAGCAAGAGAAGCCACCACCCAAAACAGGACCATGATCAAAGGGCGAGGAGACCTGGGAGCCCCCCAGGCCCTCCTGGGGCCTGGCTGGAGCACACGCGGCGGCTGGAGTGTGGGCTGGTGGGGCCGTGCGTCTTTGTGAGTGGGGTGTGGTAAAGGAGAAGAGGAGGAGGATGTGAAAAATAGAGTGAGGAGAGGCAAGGTAGAATGATGGAGAGCCATGGGATGTGATGGAGAGTGATGGAGAGCCAGGGGGAGTGATGGAGAGCCATGATGAAGTGATGGAGAGCCATAGGGTGTGAGGGAGAGCCACAGGGAAGTGATGGAGAACCTTGTAACTGTGAAACCTTGTCTGCTGGAACCTCACTTCACACCCTGGCCATGCCCAGGGAACTGGCGTTCCCAGATCGCACGGGGCCAAACCAGCCCCGGCCCCTCGCCTGACAAGGATGCTCCAGCACGGGCACATTTGGACCAGTCCCGAGGGTAACGGCAGGCTGCCGGCAGCCCGGGCAGGGGGCACCCGTCCCCCACGTGCATTTGTTGGCAGTTGGCATCTGGCACAGCCAAGGAGAGTGGCAGCCCTGGGCGGCCCAGGGCTGATACCCACAGTGCCCCCGGGAAGCACGGGACACAGGCCTGGCGGGCATCTCCCCGTGGCCGGGGCGCTCCAGGCAGCGGCGTGCCGCCCGATGCTCTGCACCGCAGAGGATGCCATTCGTCCGGGCACTCCAGTCCCTGCTGGGAAACCTGCCCAGCATTAACACCAGCCCGGCCCCAGCCCTCGGCAAGAGCAGCTGAGCTGGCGGGCGCCCGCTGCGCCCGCTGCCGCAGCCCGGGCATGCCACGGGCCGCCCACAGCCTTTGCTTTGGGGCCAGCTGCGTGTCCTAAGGCAGCACGTCACCTCCTTCCTAAACTGCTTCCTCTGCTGCGAACCCTGCAGCAGCCCCTCTGCCAGCGGGTCAGACCGCTCTGCTCCCTCGGGCACGTGCCTTCTTCTTCGAGCCAAGCAGAGTGAAAGAGAGAAAATACATCTATATGTATATATTATAGAACAATTAATCGGGGACCCATTTTCTGCCTCCATCTCCAGCCTTTGGAGGTGCCTGAGCCAGCGGGGGCCGGGCAGCACGGCGGGGCCGGGACGTGGGGCCGGGGGCTGCTGCCCGCTCCCAGCCCCGCTTCCCACGAGCGACGGCGGGGCGGCAGCGCGGGCGATGGGAACGCTGTACTCACCATATGGAGCCTCCATCTTAGCGCTTAGCTGGGTGCTTACATTGACCATGTCTCGCCGGCTACTGCTATGGGGACTTGGGGCGAAAACCAGAGGAAGTAGAGGAATAAAAAGAAATCTAAATAAATAAATAAAAATGTCTTTCACTAAGGAACTAGGTGAAGGCAGGAGGGAGCACGGAGAGGCAGGGCAAGGAAACCTGCCTCTCCTGTTATCTTATTGATTCGCTTAATCAGGGCTAATGTGGGTGGAGATGTTAAATAGTAACCAAGCTCTTATGGAAACCAGCCTGCAAGGTGCCGTTGCTGTAGCTATAGTAACTGCTGCCAAGCTAGAAACTCAAACACGGCTTTTACTGGACTCTTTTGGGGCTCCCGTTTCTACCCGGTGTCAAGGCCGGGGCAGCCATGGGGCTGGGGTTCACCCCCAGCTGTGGGGGGGACGGGGTGGCCGGATCCGGCTCTGCAGCGCCCCGGGTGCCGCCGGATTTCGTGACATCACCCACCTGCGGTGGGAAAACCGGGGCTGAGCCCGCCAGCGGGCAAGGGGCTAACCCTGCCTGCAGGCAAGGGGCCGCGGGACGAGCCGTGGGGGCTGGCATGGGCAGAGCAGGGCCTGGCCCAGGCACAAGGGGCGAAACACCCCAGCCGTGGGTCGGGACTTGTTCCCTCGGTGCAAACCGGAGGGGTCACTTGGGGACGGGGAGCCGCAGGGATGCTGCGGTGGGATGCAGGGTGGTACCCTGAGCACGGGACCGGGGTGCAGGGTGTTTGCAGCTCCTCCCTGTCTCCTCTGCTCCCCAAACCAGGGGGACCCACAAAATGCCGCAGCCGCTCATGGACATCTGTGCTCCCTCCGGGACCACAGCACCCAGGAGGAGCCCCAGGGACCTCATGGTCCAGGACGTGTAGATGCGGTCCCCGACCTTGGGGTAGAGCCCGGTGCTGCTGGTGGCTCTGTGGCAGGAGCAGCCCCTGCTCCCGGGGGGCTACGCTGAGGCAAGCAGGGCCACATGCAAGAGGTGTTGCTGAGATGACACCAAATATATGGGGGTTCCAGAGCTGGAGCTGAAAAAGTGATCGGTCGGCAGCGCAGGGCCTCCCATACGTCTCTGGAAGGAGCCGGGCTGGAGGAGGCAGTGAGGGGTCCCTGCCAGTCCTGGGACAGCACCCCGGCTATTGCAACCCTGCAGCCCCAAGAGGACAAAATTAGGGACATCTGCTCCTCCGGATGGGAAAGCACATCCCAAGGGAGCGTGCAGCGGGGCGAGTGGGCAGGGGGCTGCCCGGACACGGTGGGCTGCGGCGCAGGAATCCACAGCTGGGGGCTCAGAGCCAAAGCCTGGGAATTTGGGGACCCCTGAGTTTGCTGAGTGCTGAGGGCTCTTAGAGAGGGAGGGGATGTGGATAACGGGGTGCTCAGCGGCGCCGGGGGTGAAGCAGGGCAGTGGGGTGGCATGGGGCAGCCTGGGTGGGACAGGGAGCTCGTGACCCTCCGGCGTCATCATCACCCGGTGTCCCAGCAGTGCTGGCTTCTCCCACACGATGGAGCAAAGTGCCCGGCCATCTCCTGCAGCCATGGCCCATGGCCCTGCCGAGGGCTTCTGGCCCTGCTGAGGGCTTCTGCACCCCTTTGCTATTTACCCCCCAAAACAGAGCAAAGGCACAGGCTCGGTGTTACCCTGAGGCTCCAGGCTGCGAGTGAGAGAGGACGGACACAAGCACGGGGGTCTCCAGGCTGCTTTATTGGGGGGCTCGGAGCTGGGGGCCCTGTGGCCGGAGGGGCAAGAGCACGCTTGGTGCTCCCCACTCTTCCTCCAGCCACTTGCCATGAGGGGAACATCTTGGTATTCGCTTACACCAGCCTCTGCCTTAGCACAGGCGGGGGGCAGTGGGGGAAGCCCCCCGAGCCCGCGGAGCAGGGGCCATGCCAGCCAGCCCCGCTCCCTCCGTGCATCCCCGAACTGTCCCGATTTCGGGTAACAGGGATCTGAACCATCCCTATTTCCCCCAAAGCGGGAAGCAGCCGGACAACACAAGCGCAGCTGGAGAGGTGTGTTAAAAAAGTAGTTTCCTACGCGGCGCTAGGGATGAAGCAGGTTGGACAGCCGAGCTGCTGGCGGGGGTCAGTGTTATAAATAGTTCTGGTTCACCTCGTCCCCATTCCCAGGGGCTCCCTTGCGGGGCTGCAGCCCTAGAACCAGCTGACTTGGTTGGATTTGAGTCCGGTGAAGCACATGTTGTTGGAGCAGCCTCCGCCGTAGGTGGGGGGGCAGGCTGAGCATGGCCTCCCCACCTTGTACGGCGCTTCTCCCAGCCAGTTGCCCCTAAAAAGAGAGGAGGACATCACCTCTGCGCACCATTGCCTCGCCGCCGACACCGGAGCAGCCGTCAAGGAGGGAGGACGGCACGGGGGGGGCTTCCCTCCACGCACTTACTTGACGGCGTAGTTGCAGACGAGGAGGATGGCGTGCCGCCACGTGCTGCCCCACACCCGCACGTTGGCGCAGGTGCCGAGGGCGCAGCCCAGGTGGCTGGAGGATGCCCACACCATCTGTGCCGGGACAGAGAACAGGCGCTGTCGGCGACCGCCCACCCAGGCGTCCCACAGCCAGCCACCCCAGGACCCTGGTGCAGGGCTCTGGCCCACCAGGAATCGCATCCCGCCTGCCTGAATTTCTTGGGCTGGGTGCTGTGCCCACCATGGGCACTGCTTTGTCACCCAAGAGCGATTTCTCACTGCCCTTTTCTGCCTGCAGCCCGTGCTGCCCTGCAAGGGGCTGCCTTGCCAAGCTCACTTAAATGAGCATCACTCTGGGCCGCTTCTCCGATTTACCCAAATTAGTTCCCAAACCTCACCCTGAATCATCACTGGCAGAACCAGAAGCTCCTCCTAAAGCCTCTCCAGGCTGAATTTCTTCCTTAAAAAATGTATATCTTGCCCATTTGCAACCTGGAGCATCCCCGAGCATCCCCAGGGACCAGCTGCACAGGGATGCAGATGCTCAGGTAAAGGCTGGAGCCGTGCAGAGGAGGCAGTTAGGGGCTGGCCCAACTTTGGCACTGGGCAGGGGAGCAGAGGGAGGTTTTCCACCTTGTGCCAGCCTGGCTGCCGGTGGACGTGCCGGGGGATGAAGGGGCTGCCTTCTCGGGGACCCCGACATGGCGGGGTGCTATAAAGCCAATTCATCACAGAGGAGAGGATTCATGCTCAGCAAAAGCACAAAGGGGCTTTTTTTTTTTCCCCTTCACCACCTTTGAGGTGCCAGTGGGGTAATAAGGAGAACAAGGCCAAAGAAGGGAAAAAAGCTTAAAATTAAAACCTCCCAGCCAACTGGGCAGAAGGTCCCAGCTGTGCTCCAGCAGGCTGCGAGCCCCCGGGACCTCCATGTAGGCAGCCAGATCCCGGCGGGACCCCAGGGTGGGAGGGCATTGCTGCCGGCTGCCTGCACCCCTCCGGCAGGCACACTGCCTGCTGCCGGCCCTGCTGCCAGCCCTGCTGCCTGATTTGACGCAGAGAGCTGCCAGGATTTGATCTCGGATCCCAGCTGCTGCTGGGAGAAGGGCTGCTCACTGCATGGGTGCTGCAGCAGCCCAAGGCGCTGTGAGCTGCCCCCCGGTTTGCAGCCGGGTCCCGGGGAGCTGCGGAGGGCTGCGGCGCTCACCTGCGTGTAGTGGCTGCAGACAGAGCCGCTGCATTTGGAGGGGCAGTGGGGGTTGCACTCGCGGGGGTGGGGGAAGGAGTAGTGCTGCTTCTCCTGATGCCACGATTTCACCATGTCCAGGACAGAGCGGTACCTGCAAAAGGTGCCGTGCGGAAGGTGGGCATCCTCCACCTCACAAGGCATGGATGAGGGGGAGGAAGGCTCCACATAGAGGGAAGAGGGTAGAGAAGCGGGATGGAGCAGAGGCAATGACATCCTTGTCCCAAGTCCACTTGTGCCCAAGGCCAGAAGGCCTGGCCCTTGCTGGAGGCACCTGAGCGCTCAGCCACGTGATAGAGATCCAGGACCCCCCTCCCCCTGCTCTCTGCACCAGGCGGAGAGGGGGTTAATGCCGCACTCCCCAAACGAGCAGCAGGCACCTCTGGTTTCCCACATTTACTCTGCTGCAAGAGCTGGACCCTCCTCCTCCTCCCTGGGGGGCTCAACATGCCTCTTGGTTGCATCTCAGTCCTCTGCAACCCCAGCTCCGAACCTCTCTGCTCCTTGACCTCTCTGTTCCTCCTCCTCCTCATCCCACATCGTGGGATGCGGAGGGTCCCCAAGGAGCCCACTCCGCCCGTGGGGCACTCACCTGCCTGAGTGGATGGAGAGGTTCTGCCCCACGTATTTCATCAGCTGGGGGGGGCCGTGGTCCCACAGGCAGCGCGCAGCCCATGCCTCCGCTGCCCTGGCCAGCCGCTCGTCCCACACCTGGCCAGGGGGAAAGGAAAAGGGCAGGCAGGGATTTTGGCTGCCCAGAGGAGGGAAGAGGAGAAACCCGCTCCCTTATGCTCGGGGCAGGGTTTCTGAGCACCCCAAGGTGTCCAAAAAATGTGATTCACGCATCAGGCTGGGAAAAGCCTGCGGGAAGCAGGGCAGCATGCCCAGGAGCTATGAACCACCCCAGCTGCCCACCGCGGCCCCTGGGCACAGGCGGTACCCGCTGCCCAGGCAGAGCACGGATGCCGTGAAGCAGTGCAAGCCCTGTGTGTGTGTGATTCCCTCCGGGAATGAGCTCCTTCTGCAGAAGGAGGAACTGAATCCAGGGGTGAAACCCTGTGGCCCTGCGCTGCCGCTGCAGCTCGCAGCCAGCCCCAGCCCTCCACGGCAGCCTGGCCGCAGACTAACCGGTGAGGACAGCTGGGGTGCATTATTTAAAGGTTCCTTTGTGCATTATTTAAAGGTTCTTCACCCATCCTGAACCACTTTGGGGAGATGCCTGAGAGAGTTGTTTTGGAAGGCAGGAATTTAGGCCAAGCAAGAAGTGGTGCGGGATGCTCCCGGGCACGTCTGACCTGCGCTGGTACCCAGCAAGCTCCCAAACCAGCATCCAGGGACCACCCAGCCGGTCTGTGGGAGCTCCGGTCCCTTCCCTGGGAGCAGAGCAGCACATGGCACCTCCTGCCCCAAGGGTCCCGCTCAATGTTGGCTGGAAATCCCTCCTCTTGGTGGCTCCCCATTTCTCCTCCCTTTAGGGCTGGGTTAAGAGCTCTGAGCAGGGTTGAGACAACCTGGGGAAAGCTCTGCCCAGGGAGGCTCTCGTCCAGAGGAGCTGCCTGACCCAGTGAGGCTCTGCAGCCCCTCTCTGTCTCGCTCCTGCGTGTTTCTTCTCCCAGGGGCTGGCATCCCTGGGCACGCTGCCAAGGGACCCCGGGCCTTGAGATGGGGCCGTCCCTCCCGGCTGCAGTTAGGGGAAAGCCTCCAACCTGGGCTTGGGGTTGGGACCTGAGCTTTTCATGCTTGGAGCCCTCTCCCTTCCCCTAACACTACGTTTGCAGCTCAGCTGGACGGACGCTGCCATTCCACAGCCTGCAAGCTCCCAGACATCCCAGGCATGGGACCAGGGGTCCTAAATCTGCCCCCGGGTGGAAACCTCCCCCCATCAGGACTCCATCCCTCCTGCGCAGAGGCTGCGTGGGGCGTGCATGGGTCTGCCCTGCCCCAGGAACGTGAAACGTCCCCCGGGACAGATGTGCAGCCACGAGTCCGGGGCAGCACCCTGACATCCCCATGTGTGGGTGCCCCGTCCCTACCAGGCTGGGTGCCCACGTCACGGGTGAGCCCCTCAACCTCACCCAAACCTACCCTGCCAGAGCCTGACTCACCATGTACTCCATGTTGGCAGCTGGGGGGGACACCTGTGCCCTCACTTGGTTGTGGTAGTCCAAAATCATGCTCATGTCGCGGGGGGAGAGGTATCGCTTCCGACGGCTCCGGGGGACCCCCGCGCCCCACAGCAGGCCCGCAGCTCTGCCCCCGGCGGGGGACAGGAGCTCGGTGGCATTGGGCAGCAGGAAGGAGCTGGACTGCGGCGTCATCCAGAAGCCCAAGGCAGTGAGGTACAGGTGCACATGGAGCACAGCCATGCTAGCCCGGCCGGCGGGATCGGCCGGCGGCTTTCTGCTCCCGCACGGAGTTAAGCAAGGACAAGGCGGATCGCGGGTCCCCGCTGCCAGCGCGTGGATCTAGGAGAGAAAACAACGCAGGCACCGCTCAGGTTTGCTGTTCACGTGCAAATACCTCTTCCCAAAATGAGAGGGAAATAAATTTTCCTTTTTTTTTTCCTTTTCAAAATAAATTTTTAAAATTAATCTCTGATGACCGCATTTATCACAGCAAATTCCCCAGGACCAGCAGAGAGGTGACTGGGTTTTCTTGTTGTTTCTTTAAAAAAAAACCCAAATCTGTACAAAATCTCCCCCACTTTTTCACTGATCGCACGTACCTGCCAGGCAGGGGCTGATTAGGAGCATGCTGAGAGATTTGCTGCAGCCGCCTGCCCTGTAATTTCCCAAGCGTTTGGTGTGTTGAGTAAATCCCCAGCACAAATGGAAATCTCACACAGATAAAGAAATGCACAGCAAGTTTTAAAAGCACCGGTGAGAAATCCTAGCGACTATCTCAGGGAAAGAAAAATAAACCTCCGCAGAACAAGAATAATTAAAAAAAAGGAGAAAAATGCTGGAATATCTCCTCAGCCACCGCGCCTCCTAGCATCCCTGCCAGCCCTTCCCCGGAGCAGCGGGGAGGACGTTCCCCAACTACATACCTGGAGGACAGAGCCAAGAGCAGGCGAGCCCGGCGGCGGCAGCCGGTGGGATTGACCTTTGCAAACAACCTGCTGGGGCAGATGCGGGAGAGAGGTTGAGCCTAGCCCCGCCGGGCAGCCCGCTGCAGCATCTGACGCAAAAGCTGCATCTCAGCTCTTCCCCCGGGGAATGTCCTGAAGTTTGGGAAGAGCCCTGCTAGGAGATTTATAGGCTGGTGGATGCATCCGCGCGCACAGGCGCGCAGGCGGGCACGCCGAGCCGTGCACGGTGCCGGCGGGGGGAAGCGAGCAGAGCCTGGCTCGCTGCTGCGGTGGGCAGAGGGGCTGCTCGTCGGCTGCTGGCGGGGGTTTTTGTTACGAGCTACCTATGGTGAGAGATCCCCAGAGTCGTCTCTCCACCGTTCATTCCCCTGAGCTGGGGTCTCTCTGGCAGCTGTGGATAGGGAAGCGAATCCAGGTCGGAGAGGGATGCGGAGGGTTTCTGCCCCGGCAAGGTGGCGGCGGGGCTGGCACTCACCGGGAGCCCCGGGGTCACCCCGTTTTGGTGCGAGCTGAGCAGATGACAGAGATGTCCCTTGCCAAGGGTGGCTGGGAGGGGACCTGGTGACCACACATGTCCCTGGGCCAGCAGCTCTCCCTGTTAGAAATGAAGCCGCTTGCTGGGTGGGTTCCCCAAGGACTAGGGTTTGCCACAGCCTGTGGGGGCTCTGCCCGCGTCCCCACCACTGACCCGGGCCGGCAGTGCCCAGCTGGGGCATCTCAGGGGAAAAGAGCCCTTCCTCTGCGGGCTGTGCTCCCCCCAGGGGCCTTTTTCCCCAGGGAGGCGGAATGGCTGCAGAAGTCTGAAAGCTGTAGACAATCCTGCAGCATCAAGCGCGTTTCCCTGTAACATCCCAGCAGTTGCGGTGCCTGCGGCCAGCTGAATTATCGCAGGTCACAAAAATGCAAGACTGGCAGGCTGGAGGGGCTGCTTGCAATGCCCCTCACATCTTCTCCCGCTGCACCGGGAGCCAGCACAAGCAGCCGCGTGTGAGCCATGGCAGGGCTTGCTGCCATCATCGCCCATGCCGTGGTGCCCCAGGGAAGCAAGGTGCTCACCCCGCACCTCACCAGACCTGGGTTCACCAGAGCACAGGCGGGTTTGGAGCCAGGATTTGGCTCTTGGTTGCATGAAGGGGAGCACCGAGGCCAAACTCCCTCTCCTGAGCTGGCAGGAGGCACGGAGACGGAGGCACGGAGCTGAGACCAGAGTGTGCCCTGGGGAAAGCTGGTGCTCAGGCAGGGAGACAAGGAGGCTGCCGGGGAGGAGGGGAGGAGAAGGCAGTCCCACAGCAGCCCATCACTGCTTCTCACCCTCACTGGGATAAGAATCGAGGATCCTGGCCATGAAACTCCTGCACCGTGCTGGCACATCCCAGAGCCTGGCTGGCTTCACCCGCGGCCCCCGATGCCCGCAGCGCAACAGAAGCCGACCAGGAGCTCAGGGAGGAGCAGACCCAAGCGTGGAGCGGGAATAACGGCCAGGTGCTGAGCTGCTGTGCTCTATCAATACAGCCTCACCCTGCTGTGAGCCTCTGCCCAAATAGTCCCCCATGCATATTTTTCCTGGCATCCCCTCTCCCGTAAAGCAACTCAAGGTGCTGCGGGCCCTGGGGAGCGGCTGGAGACATGTGCTGGAGGGATATTTCCATGCACTCCCCACCCAGAGGGTGGGATGATGATCGTGCCAGCGGGGAGACAGGGAAACTGCTGCCGAGGCACCTCCGGCCCTGCTGCGGTGCGGCGGGAGGGGACCCCTCGGTGCGGAGAGCAGCAGCAGCCCGTGGGCTGGCAGGGCCGGGCAAGCTGCCGGGGGCTGTGCTGTGCCATGGACGCCGGGCACACTGGGGTGTCAGGGTGGCTCCCAGAGCCCACCAGCTTTCCCGGCTGCCTGTTGTAGGGGGTCTAACCAGCGCAGCTTCACCTTCCCAGCACCAAAGCACCCCAAAACACCAGCCACCTCTCCACAGGTGCCGGGCAAAGCACGATCCCCAGTTTGCCGACACCCCTATTTTACGTTCACCCGTATGCAGAGGCGAGTGCCAGCTCCCGGGGCCGACGGCAGGACTGCCCTTCATACCACACCGGGACGGCACACGCTGGGGCTGCCTCCCTCCGCTCAACCCCAGCTACCAAATCTCCCATTAGTAAGGCTGGTGGAGGGAGTGTCATTCCCAGCAGGTTAGAAAGGCAGATGGGGACACGCAGCAGCGATCTCAACTGGGCAGACTGGGGATGTGGTCTGGGCAGACTGGGAGGAGCAGCTGCTGCCAAGGTAGGGAAGGCACTGGGGCTGTGTTATGGGGAAAGGGGTTTTTTAATGACTTATTATTTCACAAAAGACAGACCCCTGAGCTCATCCAGCACCGTGAACTGCAAAGATTTGCATTTGAGAGGTTTTTTTGAGTTTTTGTTTCCCTGGGGCTCGGGGAGAGCAAACCTACAGCAGCTCCCACTGCCACGCAGCAGACAAGCTGCACCGAGCCTTCGCACGGGGACACGGCAAGGGTTTTGTCTTGGGTGCAGATTGAAAGCGCTGCTTAATCAGCGCTCCGCAAGACAATCCAAATTCCAGGAACTGGAAGGGGCTTGTGTCCCTGCCAGGTGTAATATCCTGCAGCCCAGACTGGCCCGGCTGCCAAAGCACACGGTATCTGCAGCGAGGACCTCGCTGGGAGCCAAGAAGCACACGCATTCAGCTGGATACAGCAGCAGTGCCGGCAAATTCTTATTTTAATGAGCATTGGGGGGAAAAAAAAGAGATAAATCACTGGGTTCGCAGCACTCTCTTGGCAGAGATGCCCACCGATGCTTTTGGGACTGACACGCATAGCAGCTCACTCCAGAAAAAGCCACAACAGGACCTGCAGGATTCCTCCATCGTGTTTATTTCTCCCATCTGTTGGCTTTGGGCATCACACATCAGCCCTCTATCACGATTGACGTGAGCCCACGTAGGACTGAGCAGGGCTTTGCCCTGTGCTGAGGGACAGGATCTGCTGCGATGCCTGAGCACCCCCAGGCATGGAGGAGGTCGATGTGGCTTTCCATAGCAGGAACCTCCTCTTAACTGGGGTAAAACAAACCCAAACCAAAGCCCTGTTTGAACAAAACTGTTTTCCCAGGTAATGCACAAACTCTGTTGCTCTAATAAAATATCCCCCTCTCAAGAACTGGCAAAAGGCTGGGTTTCCAGCTTTGCTGAAAGCCGCTTGTTTCTCCCAGTCCTGCCCCAACCACCACCGACGGCTCCAGCTGCCCTGCTGCCCACCCTGGCAGGGAAGGAAGGTGGGGCTTTGATGGCTTTTTGCATTTCTAGAGCCCTGTAGAAGTCCAGCCCATCCAGAGCTTGGTTCCTCCTCATCCATCATGAAAAGAGATCTTCCTTCTGACTTAGAGGTCAGAAGATTTGATCTCTGCATGTTGTGACATGAGAAAACCCAGGCTGAACTCCTGCACGTTTATTTGTGATCTCCCTGGAGCGAAACGTCCCGTTGAGTTGTAACCGAGCTGAGATCAGTCCCGAAGTCTGAGGACTTCAGAGTCATCCTTCTCACTAATTAGGACCGGCTCCTTGTAAATGTTGGGTCCCTTTCTGAACCAAGCTGAGCCTTGGAGGAAGGGGTGCAGAAAAGTAAAATCTCACACCGACGAGGTGACCTCCCCGGCTGCGGGAATGGGGCAATGAATTCCTGGCTGCCAGCAGACCTGCGCCCTTCATGGCCAGAACACGGGGACACCACGTTGGGATGGGCTTTTCCAAACAATCCAGCCTTTCTTCATCAAAACTAAAGAAGTCTGATAAGTATCGAACCCCTTCTCCCTGATATCTCAGACATTGCAGGAACAGGGTAAGCTTCTCAAAGGCAATTTCACAATTTTAATGAGAAGTAGTTAAAATTGTGAATTTTGATCATCTGAACTTTTCCTGTCGTTCACTGCTAAAACCTGGGACGGAGCAAAAAGCTGAGGTGCAATGCACGTTCATCTCACATTCCCTCGCTGCGCCCACCCGTCCTCTCCACACCCAAGAACCTGCTTTCCCCGTGCCAGTGCAGTACGGTCACACCAGCAAGGAGGCAAAGTTGAGCATGGGCTCCTAATATCACCAGTGAATGAGAGGGTCGTGCTAATTTGGCTTTCAGGTCTACCAGGGAGGTCCCTCGCTCCTGTTGCACGCATTAAGAGGATGGGCTCAGTGATGGACATGGTATAAGACAAACCATGTAGTGGTATAGCTTGCACCTATACCTGCATGCAGTGGGGATGGGGCGGTGG